CGAAGGGGAACACTCCTTTTCATAGGGCTCAGGAGATCGTCCTGCCGACTTTTGCCCGGGCCCATCCAATGATAGGGAGAGGCTCTGACATCGGTTGGATGTGTGCCACGTACTGCGGATCTACCTCCGGCGGACCAAGGGGGTCCGTAGGTCAGAGGCCTGGCTTGTTTCATTCCAGCCAGGAACGTTAGGATCTAGGTGTCCTCGGCCACCATTGGCCATTGGCTGCGTCAGGCCATTGCGGAGGCCTATGGAGCGGCTGGTCATCCAGCCCCGTCGGGCATTACAGCCCACTCTACTCAGAGTGCTGCGACCACAGCGGCGTGGGCCACGAGAGCTCCCTTTGGGGACATTTGTCGGGCGGCAATTTGGGCTTCTGCGACGCTATTCATCCAACATTATCACCAGGATACCTTTGCTTTGGCGAACGCATCCTTTGGTCGGAGGGTCTTGCAGAGGGTGGTGGCTGATGCTCCCCTTGGGCCTTAGGGGTCTTTTGTTCTCCCTCCCTGGGACTAGTAGCTTGGGTATGTCCCACACGTGACCACTCCCTCTCTTCCTCTGGAAAAAGAATGTTGGTCTTACCTGAACGTGTCTTTTAAGAGGAAGGGAGGGAGTGGTCATGACCCACCCTGAGGTTTCCGTGTTGGGGCCAAGGGGAGGACTCGGGTGGTTCCCGGTGGGGGAGGGTTTGTTCTTGTTGTTTTGTTGTTTCAGTTCTACTGTTCACCTTTGAGGAAACTGGGCCAGGATTGGAAGGCACCAGTATTTAAATGTTTGCTCTCAGTCTTTGGACCAATCAGGCTTTGAGAATACCCACACGTGACCACTCCCTCCCTTCCTCTTAAAAGACAAGTTCAGGTAACACCAACATTCTATCTATCAACCATTTTCAGTGTGACACTTTCCCATTTTTTGATAGTGTTTCACCCTGCCCAGATCGGCTAGGATTAGAGTGGGCAATAAATATTGTAAAATAAATGAAATTAAATACTTTATTTGCTGCAGGATATCAGTTCAGCCATGGCAACTTCTTTTTCTGAAGTTAGACATGAAATTAGCTTTTATGGTTTCAAGCAAGTCTTGCTTTTCTGAGTATCTGGAAGGAGATTCCTCCATCTTTAACCATTTTAGAAAGCCCTGAAACCTATTATTACAGCCTACTAAAAAGTGACCTAAATTACTAGCTTTGGATACTCTGGAAGTGGTGGCAATTTCAGGAAGCAGATTGGCTGTTCTAGAGACATCCTTCACAGATCCTTCTTATGAAGAGAAGCCAATTTTTATTGTAGTTCAAGACTGCTTCAGCAGCACAATCAAATTTATAGTTCAGAGCTTTTCATTATTGTTACCTAGGACATCATTTTCCTAGATTGCTGTTGGAAGCCAGTTTGGTCTGCAGTTCGAAATGTGTATCAGTAATTTAGCAGCCTATAAGTTAGATAAGATAACCTTTATTGTCATTTTTTTACTATGAGCACACTTGGCACACCTTACTAATGAAATTATATTGCCTGCTCTTAAAAGAAATACACACACACACACACACACACACCATTGTCCATTTTGAATACATAGCGAAAGAGGAGAGTTGAGAGTTCAGAAGGGTGATACTAATGGAACAATGTCATGTCCTGGATAGAAGGAAGTGAACTTCCAATAATCTTTTCTACTGTCCTCACCACTCTCTGCACAGCCTTCCTGCCTGAAGGAGTTAAAACCTCCAAACCACCCAATAATACTATATGACAGGATGCTTTCAATCATCCCTCTATAGAAAGTGGTAAGGACAGGGGAAGGAAGATGCGTTCTTCTCACATGCGATGCAGAAAATGCAGGTGCTGCTGTGCTCACCTTGCCAGCGTCTCACTGTTGAGTGAGTGAGCTAACCTGCTTGTTAGCTTAAGTCAATATTAAGGTGACATCCTAAAGGAAGAGTTCATAATCTGTGCAATCCAGATTGAATGACTTTCCTGGTGGCTATAAAAACTTGGTTGTCATGTTCTTTTTGAAGTACAAATTTAGCAAGGCACCACAAGAACCCAGGAAGGGTCTTTTTTTAAAAAAACTAAACATGTATGGACAAGTTAGTAAGGCTAGTTAATTTCTAGGTGCTTGGTGGCTGAAGCGTCTAATTGCTACTGTGAGTGAGTAAAAATTCTGAATATATTCCTCCATAACCTGCACTTAGTCTTTGAAGCAAGAACCAAGAGCTAAATTATGGGTAATTGATTTACTGTTACCTTAATTATAAGCTTTTGCTAGATGAGCTTTACAATTGTTGCATAAATAGCATTATGCTGATATAAAATCATAGCTGGTTAGTCTTTGAAGGATGGGGCTGCACACTTATTCACAAAAAATGGGAGGGAGGGAGGGGCTTGCCTTGTGCCAAGAAGAGAGTTATCCTTCAGTGGGCCTTTCAAAATTTAGAACTGCACTTTCTTTGACTCTCAAACTATATTTAATAAGTGGTGGCAAAATTGTTTGTGGAGAAGTGAACTACTTTGCTTTTATAAATATCACATCCTGTTTGCTGGGATGTGGATTTTATTGAAAGACTATATAAAGTATGCCTTACCTCACTCCCTAATCTGGCCTTAGAAAAGTAAAATGAAATGGAACCTTGCATTTCTCTTTTCTCTAGAATTATGGCCATTGTCCCAGAGCAGAGGTCATAGAGCAACTATATGAATGCTAAGATATACAAACGGTTAACAAATTAAAATTTAAAGTTTAACTTAAAGTTTAACTGGAAAGTGAAACGATTAAATATAAGTCCGGATAGCACTCACATTTAAATAGTTCTTGTCCTAGGCCAGTGATGGCGAACCTTTTTTCCCTTGGGTGCCAAAAACGTGTGTGTGATAGTGCGCATACCAACACTCACGCATGCGCGTGAGAGCCCCTTCTCCTTTTGGTGCTAGCAGGCTTCCCTGAAGCCTCCTGGAACCCAAAACAGAGCCTGGGGAGGCCCATCCCCTCCACCTGCCATGCATGCGCACACAACCCCCCCTTGCATATGCATGCACTACTCCCACCAGAGACCCAAAAATCAGCTGGCCAGCGGGATGCAGGTATATGTGTGCAGTGGAACTGACCAGAGCGACGGCTCGTGTGCCTGCAGAAATGGCTCCGCGTGCCATAGTTTTGCCATCATGGTCCGAGACTTATTTCTTGGATTGTGGTTCTTAGATTTTGGTCATCCAAAGGACAGAAAAAGTTGTGTGCTTTTGTTTTGAATACTTTCTGTTGATGTAGTTTGTAAATGGAGCTTGTTCCCTGGTTAAAATAAGGAAAATAGGCTGATCCCAACCATGTGCATTAAACTAAAAACAATCACCTTGTGTTTTGTTTACAATATGTTGTGAACATTATCTTTATTTTTATCCCTCCTTTATTATTTTTCCTCCTCCTATCCCCCCTCCCCCCAAAAAAACTCCTGTGAGGTGGGTTGGGCTGAGAGAGCATCTGGGTCAAAGTCATCTACCTGACTTTCGTACCCAAGTTGTGATCTCGTATTTTCTAGCCTGGTGCTCTAACCATTAGACCAAACTGGCTCCCATGTGAAACTTCAAGCTTCCTGTGACATAGGATGGTTTCTTCATTTCCTACTTCCTTCCTTCCTTCCTTCCTTCCTTCCTTCCTTCCTTCCTTCCTTCCTTCCTTCCTTCCTTCCTTCCTTCCTTCCTTCCTTCCTTCCTTCCTTCCTCCCTCCCTCCCTCCCTCCCTCCCTCTCTCCCTCTCTCCCTCCCTTCCTTCCTAGAAGCTGTCTGGATAAAATGGTAGAAAATGCCTGGCTTGTAAGAAGCCTGAAATATTCTGAATTTTTGCTCTAAAACCTGTGCAGCGAGTCCTCGACTTACAACACTTCATACAGTGACTGTTCAAAGTTAGAACATCACTGAAAAAAGTGACTTAAGACTGTTTTTCACGCTTACAAGTGTTTGCAGTATCCTCATGGTCATGTGAACAAAATTCAGCTATTTGACAACCGATTCACATTTATAATGCTGAAGTATCCTTGGGGGGGGGTGTCACATGATCCCCTTTTGCGACTTTCTGACAAGCAAAGTCATTGGGAAAGGCAGATTCACTTAACAACTGTGTTACCAGCTTATCAACTGCAGTGATTCACTTAACAACTGTGGCAAGAAAGGCCGTAAGATGGGGCAAATTCACTTAACTGTCTTGCTTAGCCACATACGTTTTTGGGTTCAATTGTGGTCATACCTGTATACCCTTAAACTGGATTTCCTGGAGACGTTTTGGATTGATCCCCCACAATTCCAAATTGCTGACCCTGCTGATTGGACATGGCCTGTGCTCAGTCGTTCAGGCCCTGGTCATCTCACGGTGGAGGAACTGTAATGTGCTGTACATGCGGCTACCCTTGCAGAGCATTGCGAAGCTACAGCTAGTACAGAATAAGACAGCTCGGGTACTTTTGAGGTCCTCAGGAACGGCGCCTGTAATACCACTGCTCCGTGACTTCATTGGTTACCTGTCTGCTTCTGGGTGCAATTCAAGGTATTGGTGACCACCTTCAAAGCCCTTCATGACGTGGGTTTAGATTACGTGAGGGACCTTCTCCCCACTGGGAATGGCCCATAACACTCTTGCTGGCAGAGGAGGCATGCTCAGGTTCTGTCAGCCCAAAGGATCTAGGAGGAAGGCCTTCTCTGCTGTGGCTCCTGCCCTCTGGAACACCCCCCTCCAACACTTTGATGTGGGGTTGGCCCCAACCCTCCTATCTTTCCATAAGACTTGACTGTGCCAGCTGGCTTGGGGCACCAGTGGGGGAACAGTGGAGGTGGTTGATTGAGTAATAACAGATCCCATCTCCCCACACATTTGGCCCCCGCCTGTGTGTCCTTGGTTTTAATGTCTGGTTTTATTTTTTTCTGTTTTAACTGTATTTTGTAACTGTAAACTGCCCAGATTTACCCTATGGTAAGTTGAGCAGCCAATAAATTTAATAGATAAATAATAGGAAAAGGGGGAGGCCTGAGAGTCAGGGTTAGAGAGTCTCCATTCCCACCCCATTCCAGGGGAAGGATACTGCATAATCCCCATCCCCTCCCGATCAGCTGGGACTCGGAGGGAGGCAGAGAATAGATGAGGGCAGGGCCAGCCAGAGGTGGTATTTACCGGTTTTCTGAACTATTCAAAATTTCTGCTACCGGTTCTCCAGAACTGGTCTGAACCTGCTGAATACCCACCTCTGGTACGATGTCCTCCAGAGGTTTCAACTACAGCTGCAGTTGCAGTCCTTGTCCCTTGTTGACAGGGAATTGATGGAGGTTGTAATCCAGCATTAAATTTATAAGCCTTTTAGGGAGTCCTTTGCCCGGGAATGTGCTTCGTTGAGTAAAGGAAAAAAAAATGTAGTGGATGTGAGAAAAATGAAGGATATATCAAGGGGTAAATGTAAGCAAACATAGTTACACATTTTTAAACATGGTTAAAACTATTTCAGGGTTAAAACTATTTCAGGGTAGTGAAGTGGTACCCCAAATAGACAAGGAATACAAGCCAAAGGCACATGAGAAAAACTTGTTCTGCGTTACTTTGGCTGGGTATGCGTACAGTGGAATCTCCTTGAGTTTGTTCCCTTGTTTCAGTCACATCTGGGGGAAAAGATCCCATTCATCTTAAGGTGTTTGTTGAATTGAGATGGCTTCTTGGCTTTTGCTTAGATCTGGTCAAAAACGGATGGTGTGGTGCTCTCATCATTGTGAGCTTTTCTCCTCCCCGTAAAATGATAATTCGTAATTGCAATTGTGACTGATGGCCAGGAAAAAAAAAGTGAAGTGTTCCACCATCTTAAGAATGATTGAAGCTTTGTTCGCACAATCCTGCTGGCCTTTATTGCGTAGAGCGCCAGTTTGTCTAAAGTAGATTGCTTTATGAAATAAGACTTGTGGAAAAGCAAGCTAAATGGAACATTCGGAAAAGAAACTTAGTTTGATGCCTTTGAGTTGAAACTAATTCCTTGGTGGTAGCCATTGATTAGAAAAGATGAACTGGTATTTAATCTGCGGGCTGCTGGCTTTGGCAGAACGATTTGTCAGGTTAGTCTGATCACGCACATTATTTTGAGACAATGGCATTGGCTGATTTGTGGGGAAGGAAAGCAGGGTATCCTGACCTCTGAATTAATACCATTTTGTTTTGTTTTCTATTTCTAGCCGGATAACGAGATCTCTTCTGACTGCAACCACGTAAGTGTGCTTTTTGAAAAAAAGGTTTGGCACATATTGTTTCAAGAGCACTGAGCACATTTGTTTTGACAAAAGGGGAAGTTGGTGGGATCCTGACTAACTCAACCAAATGGAAAAGGCTCAGCTTTCTTTACTTTTCTATGGCTGCCTCTGTAGGCCAGTCAGAATTGTGTTTGTCGGGAAATGCTTGTTGGAAAGGCATTGTGCTCGAAAGGCAAAACTTTCCTATGCGTACAACTCATCAATCATTTTCCTTTAAGCTACTGAGAGGAATGCAACCGAATAAACTTCCCTGAATTTAAGCACTCAGTTTGTGCTCTGAAACAATTTCTGTTCAGTCAGCTCATTGTTTAGTCATTTCTCCTTTTGCTGCCCTAATCTCGTGCTCCAGTTTGCAACCGGTTCACCTCTGGTCTGTGCTGCTCTATGCTGGATGCCTTTTGGAAGAGGTTCATGTAAAACAACAACAACACACAGCTCCCTAACAAGGTGCATATACAAAGTGCAGTTCCAGCATTGTTCCAATTGAATGCCATCTTGATTATTCCACTAGCGATTTCAATGAGCTTCAAAGAAAATAAGGTGGGTGGGGGACTGGCACTGCATTTACACTGCACCCGGCTTCCTAGGGTATAAAACTAAAGCAAAACAGGTGCGCGCGCGCACACACACACACACACAGACCTTTCAAAGGCAAGAGAAGGCTGCATTGTGCTGAAAATAATGTCACAAGAGGATAGAGTAACAGTTCTCATCACAGAGTACTGAGCTTTTTGGAGCACGGGAAAGGAGAACCATTCTCTCCCTAGCTGCATTGGTGTGAGTTTTAATGAGTAGATTCACATGTCTAGTACCCCTCCTTGCCTCTATTTTATCATCTGCATTTAGGGGCACAAAATTCTCTATGTTAATTGTCATTTACTTGCCTGCAGAATTACTCAGTGGCTTATAATAGTAAAACCTATTAAAGAAAACATATCAACACATAAGGAATAGAAATACATATACACCAATGTGACTTTGGCTACTTTAAGATGTGTGGACCTTCCAGAGATCCCGGCTAATTTGGTGGGCAGAAAAAATCTGGGATTGAAATCTACATGTCTTAAACATGTTGCCAGGTTTAAAAACCATTCACATACTGGTGAGTCATGTAGAGATAAAGTATAAATTTCATAAATTATATACAGTGTAAACTTCAAGAAAAAAAATCTGATCTACATGTTGCCTTATTCTTAAAAACCAGGAAGCAAAGATTAATCTGATGTGTAGAAAATGTTGTTTTATACATTTTGGGAGTTGCCCAGAGTTGGCGGCTACATAAATGTGTTCAATAAATTAATCTAAATTGAAGTCCTGATATCACAGGAAAAATGTTGTCAGATTTATGTTAGATTAGATTGAGCTATTCCTTTAAAAAAAAAGATCCCAAAGCAGCATTTTTAAAAGCTAAGTTTTGTCTTTTGTTTCTTGTTTTCCCTTTAGCTGCTGTGGAACTACAAATTGAACCTGACTACAGATCCAAAATTTGAATCGGTGGCTAGAGAAGTTTGCAAATCCACTATATCAGAGGTAATTTGATTTCTGAGCGGGGTGAGCAGAGGCTGGAAACTGACTACCTTTTTCTGAAAAACAGAGTAAAAGATGAAAACGTTGAGTTATTCTTCCAAAAAGTGCAAATGTCTTCTGAATTGATTTTGTTTCTTTTTTTAAATAGAATTTGAAACATGTTTTTTTAAAAAACCACTAACTTCCATTGCAGATTTAGTCTATGTTTTTTTGCTAGTTATCAAAAATGTGAGAGCAATGCATTACAAAGTAATGGGGACTTCAAGCCTCTTTCTCAATCTGCAATTCAGGATCCTCTTCGTTAAATACGGTGCATTTATTTCTGGTCCAACCGTATGCGCAGTGAATGCAATTAATTTTATGCATTTGGGATGGGGGGGGGAGTAGGAGTTGCATAATTCTTTTATTATCTTAGGGGGAGTCAAAATTAAGAAGCTCTGCTTTTAAGATGTACTATAGTTTCCCTGGGATTAGTTCCAGTTGCAGCCTGAAGATGGTCATGGGGTAGTATCCAGTGCCCAGTTTAACTAGCACAATGTTTTCCAAAACCAGGACCAGTATAGGTGGTCCTGGAGCTTCAGAATCTGACAGAATAGGATAACTTGCCACAGTCAGTTCATGGTGGCCAACTCGCCTCAGCTGATTCACCAGGGGACAACTTGCCAGAACAATTCAACAATTCAATTTGATTCTTTGAAGTAATTTAAAAAATATTTTATTTTTTGTCATTCTCATTTCATTTTGTTCCTCTTTTGGCATCCTTCTTTAACGATTTTATTCATTTAATATTAGTGTAACTCTTATCCTCTGGTGAGTTGTCATGTGTGGAGTGGGCCATGGCAAATTGTTGTAGATCCAAAGAATTACAAAGATTTTCCTTAACAGACATGAATGCAAGCTGCAAGGAAGAGGGAAAGAGCTGCAATCTCTTCATGGAACATTAGTATTCTGCCTGCAGGCGGCACCTTTCTCTCTTTGTCCTTATCTGGATTGATAATGTCTATTTAAGTGTTGGAGATAATGAGGGCTTGCTAAAAAAAATGTACTGGTTACCTCAGAGAAGGCAGTTGTGAGATCATGTTTTTAAAAATATCTCCATGTTACCATACCAGGTTTTCCAGCTGGTACTGTTTACAAACTGCCCTTCTTTGGCATGGTGCTTGAGTGGATAACTGGGTGCATCTGGTGCTGTGCCACCGACAACACAGGAATTCTGTGCTGAGTTTGATTTTGTTTTTAATTTTGGAATTGCAACCACCTTGAATAGTCAGCTGGGAAAAGTAGGGCATTTCTCTGAAAGGGACGTGGAATCAGTGCAAAGCTACTAATTGCTTGGATTATTCAGAACTATGCGATGCCCACTGATCATAGTTTGATGGAATCTGGGAGGTATGAGGAGTCTTTCTGAGTTTGGCACCCAATATAGGTGTTACGATTGCAGGGAAGTTGAAGAAAGCTGCCCCAGTGTTTTCCTTCCTCTCTGAAGCCCTGGTTTCAAAAAAAGTGGTTAAAATGTGTATCATTTATCCATGAATATCCATGGCTCCATCTTTTAGCATCTGCATGAAATTGCTGGGAGGGTTTCTTAAGATGAAGACGATAAGCATACCTGTTTCTGCTGTTTAAATGACACTAAGGTAGTAGTGAATGAAGCTACTGCAATGAAACCCCTCTGGAACGGAATGATCACTTTCATAGCCTCCCCCTAGAACACGGGCGTCAAACTTGCTATGTTATATTGCCGTCATGTGAGGTTTCACATTTTTCCCATTCACGGAGCTGGTGTGGGCACGGCCTGCAATGTGACTACACAGTCCCATGGGCCACCAGTTTGACACTCTGCCCTACCCTGTTTCCCCCAAAATAAGACCTCACCAGATAATAAGCCCAATCAGACTTTTGAACGCATGCGCTAAAATAAGCCATGCCCCCAAATAAGCCCTCCCCAAAAATATTGCAACACAGAAGCAGCCATGAGTTGACCACACTCACCGCCTCCTGCACCTCAAAAATAATAAGACCTCCCCAAAAATAAGGGCAAACACTTATTTCGGGGGCGAAAAGAAAATAAGACCATGTCTTATTTTCGGGGAAACACAGTAGAAGAAAATATGCAGAACATCCACAAACTATTCATCAATAGTTTCTAAGAAAGAGACACAACCCAGCATTCCAGCAGCCGGAAGAAACGTATTCCAGGCTTCCCCAGGGGGGAAAATGGTAAATATTGCTGATAAAAGACTCAATTCTTAGGGGAACAGAAACGACAGTCCGTTTTACGACTTTTCTTGCCCCATTTGTTAAGTGAATCACTGCAGTTGTTCAACTTCACTTATATCCCTCCTTCAGCTTTCAGCAAACACACATCTTACAATCTCTTTCCCGGTACAGGTAGTCCTCGACTTACAACAGTTCACTTAGTGACCATTCAAAGTTACAATTATACTGAAGAATTGACTTATGACTTACGACTTCAGACTTATGACCATTGCAGCATCCCCACAGTCATGTGATATACATTCAGATGGCCTGACAACTCACTCACATTTATGACCGTAGAAACGTCCTGGGGTCACGTGGCCATCTTTTGCCACGTTCTGACAAGCAAAGTCGATGGGGAAGCTGGATTCAAGATATAAAATAGCAGAGTGGGAAGGGACCTTGGAGGTCTTCTACTCCAACCCCCTGCCTAGGCAGGAAACCCTATACCGTTTCAGACAAATGGCTATCCAACATCTTAAAG